AGTTCTAGTTAAACAATAAAATATTATAATTAATATAATATAAATATAATGTTCGAATTGATTAGAATGAGCTAAAAAAGAAAACTCAAAGAATTAAAAAATGTCTAATAAACATTTTTAATTTGTCGCTCCCAGAATAAGAACGATAACAAATGATAAACAAACTATAATTTATTATGAAGATTTAATGTTTTATGTGCAATATTATCTTTACATTTTGAAGAAAATTTCTTCTTATTTTTTCAATGTCTTGTGTTGAAAAAATAAAAAAATTTTTTTTTTAATATTTCATCTTTAATTTAAATCGAAATAGATGTTACATAAACAATAGATTATGATATTCAATTACGTGCATTATAGTACACTATATTACAGAATATTATTTTCAATTTGACCGTAACAAAAATAATATAGAATCAGAAACGTAAATACGCGCGAACGCACATAAAGATAGGAAAATTAATTGGTCAAAATGTGTATGACTACGTGTATATATGTGTTGGGTGCTTGCGCGCACGTGTGTGGTGCAGCATATATAAATAGTTAAGAAATAGGAAAGTCTTATTCGTTTAACTTAATTTAATGACGAATGTGTTTGGATGTTGAAATTCAAAAATTATTATCGACATTTTTAATTCAAAACTTTTAAAGTAAGCTTTCATATATATATATTTCCCGACCATATATGCAGCTGAGAGCAGCCCGAAGTGATTTTAATTGAAAATTAAGAGTCATAAGATAGTCCCAAGCCTTTAAAAATACCGTTTTCAGTGCTGACACGTTACGCCGTAACAGTCCAATCGATGATTAAGTAAGTATTTATTTTTTTTAAGACGACCGAATTGAATGGAAAAGGTCAAGGGTCCACTTAAAACAGGAGAGAGTTAATGAGAGAATAGAAATTAAGCAATGGTTGCAGCATACCTAAGTCCATAGTTTTATCCTCCTCGGCGAACATCGCGTGTATCACTATGAGAGCACCAAAGAAACCGAAGAGGCCGTAGTGGCGTATTTCGTCCTTGAACCATCCCGGTCGCGCCAACACCTCGAGGTCGTGATTGGGGGCGTCCAACTTACGAAGGTCACGGATGAAGAACTGCTCGTATGTGTCGATGAGCTCGTCGATGTTGTTCTGCAGGACTTCCAAGCGTGCGGATGCGTAAACGAAGTAGATGAAGTCAAACGTTGCCGATGCGTGCCTCGTCACCTGTTGGATTTTCACGTGTCGTTTGGTTTCTCGAACTTTACTCTTATTATCTTAATATGTAACCCGGCCACTTCGCATTTTATCGGGAATTCATCTCAAACGAGGTGCGATCAATCAGCCGAGCCTGTTATTTTCATTCGTTTTACTTTTTCATTATGATTTTTCTTCTTCATTTGCCCCCCCCCCTTACTTAATATACTTAGTATACTTGGTCCTGTGAGCTATGAGCGAGACGACGACACTTCTCATCGACGTACACTCATTCCACAAAAGCACAATAAAATATTTGAATTTTAACAATCAAAATCAAAATCAAATTCAAATTCATAACGAACGAAAGAAAGATAAAGTGCAAACTACTATATAATATATTATCAGGATTATATAAACTCACGTATTAAACATACAGATTATATATTATTATTATTTGTACCGAAAACGTGGTCTTTCATTCAGAATTATTCATCGGTTATAGCAATTGAAATTTGTAAAAACAAAAAAAAACAAACAAAAAAAAATGTGTTAATATGTTTTTTAATATATAATTTTTTTTAATGTATCGAGTCTTAATATAAAAAAAAAGTATTGAATTAAATTCTCCTGCGGATATCCAATAAAATCATTCTAACAAAAATAAATTTAATAGCTTACTAATTGTAAAATAAATTGTTCAATTAATAATAAACTTTGCGTTATATTTGACGTTATTATTGTCACGTATAAGCTAATAAAATGCATAACTAACACTAAAAAAATAGAATAAAAATCTAAAATAAATTAATTGCAGTTGTTTTAAGAACTTTTAAAACTGAAAAAATTTATATTTAATTATTAGTTCATTTCATTATTTTTAGTCATTTATCATCGAATACATCAAACGACTTTATAAACAATTTTAGAGTGTTTATTAATAGTTCAAGGAAATAAGTATTTTAAATTATCAAATATTTGAAAATAAAATATTTATATTGCAAAGTTTTTATAAATTCATAGGAAATTCATTCAAAATTGCCAAATATAAAGAATAAGAATTGTAAATAAATATTATTAGACTATACATAATGTTTGATGCTTTTAATCCTGCGGCGCGCTCACTTTTAATGAAAAAAAAAAAAATAATGTCAAATATATAAGATACGTCACCTAGATAAATTCTGCACCAATAATCGTTCTTTTACCAAGTTGTTTATATAAATAATTCTTAATGTTACTGATAAAATCCATATAGCATTAATGAAAGGTTTGCAATTCTAATATATTTTCAGCATTCATTATACGTATATAATTAGAATATGTAAGTTAGTGAAAGGTAGAAGCATGCTTGAGATGAAAGAAGATCAAGTTACGGAATCACAATGTTTCATCTGCATAGAAATGCGCGCCTTGTCCCTTGAATTTAGAAAGTATTAAATGTAATTTAGTGCTCGCTGACATCGACGCTGAATGACAAAATTCACCTGAAAGTCAACGAGCTTCACTTGAGCCACTTTCCCTTGTGCATCGTGGAGGAACAAAATATTGTTATTCCAGGTGTCCCCGTGAGTGATAACCCAGTAACGTCCATTGTCGGTCGATGGTGTCAAGAGCTCCGTCATCACGTCCATCACTTTGTCGCAGTATCCCCTGAGGAAGTTGGTGGCACGCTCCACCTCGGGGGTCCTCTCCTCGATCGACTCCATGCTCAGCAGTGCAAATTTCAAGCCACCCTCGTAAAGGATACCGAGGGAATAATTGTCGTCCTTACGGGCTATGATCTCGTATAAGGGCGCCACTAGCTCGTGAAATTTCTCCGGCGACTTAAGCTTCAAATTTAATGAGGAGGCGTGCATCGACGCCAAAGTCTAGAATTTTAAGAGATTATTGTCAGTACATTATTGATTTACTTAGCAATCCTGACGCTTAAGCATCCATCGCTCTCAATCATGTTTATTTTTTTTGTTTTTTGTTTTGTTTTATTTTTTTATTTATCGTGTCATAGAAAGGGGCCACTTTATTTATTCACGCTTTTATGAAAATATTTGATATTATTTCAATTGATATAATTACTATATTATCGTTTGTCAATGTATTCATTATATTGTAGAGAATTTTCTTATGTAATTTATGCCTTACAATTCACATTTACTAAATTAGATATAGAATATTTGGAAATTATTTTTAAATCTTCAAAATGAGCAAATTCACTTAAATTCAACAAGCCTGAAATTATCTTTGACAAAGTAGTATTTGGTAATTTTTATTCTCATAGCTTATTTTCCTTTAGTGATTATTTAGTGATATAAAGCATCTGCAAAAAGAAAAAAAAAATCTTTGTAAATGCTAGAGAATTTATTATTCTAAAATATGATACTCGAAGAATATTTTTAAAATAAGATTCAAATTTTTTAAAAATACAATTTTCTCTACACTGGGTTTCACAAAGTCCAAGTGGATTTGAACCGCGAATGCATTCAAATATCCGAAAGCTCTAACGCTAAATAACGATTAACAATTGGATTTCTACATTTTCCAACAAATATTTAAGATCCGTATTTTGTAAATCAACATTCATATATATATATATATATATATATATATATTATAGTTTATATAGTTTATATATAATGTTTATGCAAGAAATTTCGTAAAGTAAGAAAAATCGGATCGCTCGTTGTATTAAATAAAAATTATTTTATAGTATATGAATACAAATGTCATTAATTTAAAATTCTTTGTTTCAAAACAACTCTTACAGTATTCATTTTGTAAAACTAGACTTGCCGCTTACATCATACAACCCGGACGTGCTTTCGTCCTCTCTTGGCCTCTTGTAAATCTATAACTACAAACGCGTACAATTACCGTTCGATATTTCACGAATCATCTAGTCTGAAGGTAGAGAAATTGATAAGAAACCAAAAGGAAAAAAGTAAAGAAAATAAAAGAAAAGAAAATACAATGTATGGGAAGAGGATGGAAAGAAAGAAGATCAAATCCCTTTTGTGCTCTCTAATTTTATCCAAATGCATAAAAATACAGTGAATGAAGAGAGAGCGAGGAATTGAATCGAAATAAACTCTCAACAAAAAGCAAAAAGAACTTGACACCATCGTCTCAATACAGTACAATCGATCCTTTTAAAGGCAAAAAATTGTAAATGCAGCAGCAAGTAGCTGCCGGTGCCAAAATCACTGATTTTAAGAGCGACCCGATGAACGCTCTGATCGATCGACTTTTGGGATTACGCCTGAATTTAATCCCAAATTGAATGTTCGTAAGCTAATAATTACTTTTATAATTATATTTAATTCACTTTTACATATATATATATATATACATATATATATATATATATATATATATATATATATATATATATATATATATATATATATATATATATATATATATATTAATTTTTTTTTCTTTTTTTAATTTATTTATTGTCATATTCACATATTTAGATTTTAAATAATCATTAATTTAAATGATTTTCATATTACTAATTATTTAAAATATATAATATTATCACGTAAAAGTAATATAAAGAAAAAAACAATTATAGTATTTTGAACGTGTGAATTGGCACGAATGTCATTGACAAGTGTAAAAAAAAAAGAAAGAAAAGAAACAATTACAATACTTTAATTGTTTAATGTCATGTGTTTTACGAGACCTAAAATATTATTAAGCATCATTGTTACAATATCTTTTTATATGTGTAAATTCCGATTAGAAATAATCTCTTAAGGACTAACTCGATTGGCAATGTATGAAAAATTTTTGTAATGTCGTTGCTTGTATATATATATATATATATATATATATATATATATATATATATATATATATATATATGATGGATAAAGATGGTAAACTGTATAATAATATAATAAACATTGAATGAACGAGCATTATTATCCTTACTAATAATTATTTCTCGACAACTTTTCGGCTTGTTATTTAATTTTTCAATCACACTTCGCAACACTCAGATACGTGAGTAATAATTACATCAAATCATTTTTCTTTTAGAAATTGAAAAGTTTTTAAAATCCTAAGCTATTATTATTAATAATATCACTGTTAAAAATTGATCGTATTAAATAATATTAGCCATTGAAAAAAACATAATACGTAACATAATGACTTTTAATCATTACAAAGAATTCATTAATTAGTAGTTAAGAATTAATCTCTTGATATGATTATAGACGTAAGATTATTTATGTAACATGTAACATGATAAATGATGAAAAAATCTAGTAGCTGATTAAGTATTTTTAATTTTCTTATTGTTTTCAAGTAAAATAGAAAGAAATTTAATCTTCCTTGAAAAATAAGCAAAATAGGTTACCAAAATTCTTATAAATTGATATGTAAAGTGTAAATAGTTGACAAAGTTGTGAATTTGTTATTCTTTTATTACATTACAAGCGCAAAAAATTTTTTAAATCAATTGAAAAATAAAAGTACAAATTAATTCTCCTTGCTTCGACAAAATATCTTTTTATAGAGTTTTAATATTGTAATTTCTACTAATTTGAAGGTTTAATATTATAATAAGAAGAATAAAGTGATGAAATTTATAATCTTCTTAATGCATAAAATTCGTTTTCTTATGCACTCCGGACTTGTTTTTATCAAACGTCATTTTTGCTCTTTTTTTTTTTTTTTCTTCAATACTGGGGGCTTTACTTCATGTAAATAATTATTTATGTACATGGTAATGGTCATTTTATATAATTGCTTTTTATGGAACGTAACAGTGCCATGAAATATGCTACAAGAAAATATATGAAAATTATCCAATAAAAATAAAACTAACCTACAATTACATTAACAACAACAAAAAAAGTAATTTTTTATCTAGGCGAATGAGATATTCTTCTACTTTTTTTTTTAACCAAATATTAAAATCGTACGGATCGATGAATAAGATTTCCCTTATTCATTCAATCGGCACGAAACAGTTCCTTTCGTTATCATTTCACCCACATTGTCAAAGAATTATAAGAGAATGAATAAAGATTAAAAAAAATCTCTTTAGTATGTAAAAAGTACCTGAACAACTGCTAAACAATGCTCAAGATCGAGCATTTTACGACGGGGGTAGATTTTAAAATCCCTCGCGCCAAGATCCTCCATTATTATCTCCTCAGGCTGTGCCAATAGGCAGTCCGGGCCGAAGGGTCCGAGATGAGGTATTATTTTCTCGTAAAAATAAGCCTCGTTGCGGAACAATTCGTTGCTATTACAAATCTTGGCGAATAGCGAATTCTGCGGCAGCATCTTCCGCATGAATGCCTTCCTGTATGCTACAGTAATTAACAATTAATGTAATTGTCGTTTACACTGGGACGGTAATTCGACCATTGAAGAATAGACTTACTGTTCCGTAAAATTTTTCGATCGAACGCAATTTGATAAATTGGTCTTATATGTTATTTTATTTTCATACTTGTCTATACGCTATATTACATATTAGATTTTTTAAATAATGGTTTTATTAGATTTTTAGAAATTATTAGTTTAATTTCATCAAGTTTAATTTTATCGCATTAACATTGTATTCGAATTTCTCGTAAAATATAACCAGTTAACTTAAAATAGAAACATTTAACACATTATTAGCGCAATACTAACATTTAATAATTATATTTATGTGCAATATGCAATTTTACATTATTTAATAATAATCAATTATACTATAGAGTATACGTAATTATGATATTTTAAATAAAATCTATAAAATTACATTATTCGATAAATCTTGCATAAAAAGGATTGTGTAATTTATTTATTCCTCTATTGTTATATATAATTTTCAAAATCATTATATATATATATATATATATATATATGATTATATGTGTTCCTAATATTATAATAAGAAAACAAAATATTTATTATAATGTATTTAATAAAAAAAATTATTTAATACTAATAGTTTTATTTTTAATATTATCCAAATTTAGACTGCATCGATATTAATATGAAAAGTAATAAAATGTATATACGTATTATTATATAATTATATTATTCGATAATAATCTATATATTATTATAAAACTACATGTTTAGATTAGTCACAGATAAGTGGCAACTTAACGTAGCGGGCAATAATTTTCTTCTACATATGTTATTATTTGCATAAGTAAACAATTGATATTTATTATATATATATATATATATATATATTATACGTTATATTGTACTTTAATTATTTTCATTTAAATAATAACATTCGTTTTTTTTTTTTTAATTTTTTTAATTAATCTTTTATTTATATATATTTATGGTACTAAATTTAAATATATACACAATAATTACGTATGAATATATATATATATATATATATATATATATATATATATATATTATAAGATGTAGTGAATGAAAAAAAAAGATTATTTTAATCACTTAAAATAGTACGTAAAATATAATTAACATAAAATTACAATTATTTACTATATATAGGCTATTATTAAATAATATATGCATTTATTAAATAAGTTTAAATATGACATATTTGTAAAGTTTAGGTGAAAACGTAATATAAAATAAATTAAAGTTCCAATTAAATAATTTCGTTAATGTCAAATAAATTCAATATCTAATAGTATCGCGTATTTTATTATTACTTTCAAGACCATTTGTTACGAAATTATCGTTTAATGTTCCAATACATTAACATAAATGCAAAATATATTTAGATTTTAGTACAGAAAGTAGTTTATTGTTAATAATTGTATACTAACGGCTGCCATTTCCTCGTTTTCCTGTTATTCTTGTTCTAATAACAACGGACATGTAATTTTCGCCGACTTTGGTACCAGGTTCTTCCTCGGCTTCCAATATAACAAGTCCGTCATCCTTTTCATACTGCTTGAGTAAGGGCTCGTAATGGGCAATAATGTCTATTACAAATACAAATAAATATTGAAATTATTTATATTCACAATACAATTCTTAAATTAGTTTTGCAATATTGAGACAATTGTTGCGATGCGTACGTACCATCCCGAAATTGCATAATTTAATTCTAAGTATCTCCGAACAATAGATTTGGAAAAACAAAGGGCTTATTATGTACCGAATAATTAATGAAAGAAAGTTTTGAGGGTATATATATATATATATATATATATATATATATATATAATAGGCGCAATAAAAATCACTCTTGCAAGTCACATCGAGTATATCAAACGCATTTACCTAGCGTGACAGATGTCCGGCTCATTCCCGTTACAATGAGGGTTTAATTTGTACGATCGCTCCATTATAGATCTTTCACCGATTTATCAGGCTAAATAGGCCATTAAATATCATTCTAAATATAAATACATAATTGAAGGATATTATGCTTATTAATAAAGCACGCGAGTCAATTCATTGTTATCTTATTGAAATGAAAGAACATTGAAAAATCCATAATGTTCCAAGAGCAATCTTGGAGGTGGAAATTATATTATTGAAATTCATTAATGCTACGCTATTAGTTTCGCCCGACGCCTCAAAATTACTTTCTCGTCTAATGGTAGAAGGGCGAGATCCATCAAATAGATAAAATGTAAATATAATTCGACCATTGGTTACGAATGGCAAGCAAGAGAAGGATTCTCACACATGTTTTCTCAGATGTTTGGAATATACGCGCTACACTCGTCCTAGACGGTGCTGTGAGCGCTCACGAAAATAGAAAATCTCAGCCAAAACGCAAGTGATAGATGCCAGTGCAGCATAACAAGAATGACAGAAGTGCAAGCGATAAGAATAGAGAGCAGGAGGCTCGCGCGATCGCATTCAATGTACGTCTGCGTTACGTCCACTGGCAATGGCCGTAATACCCAGTGACATAGAGTTGCCTACTACTCAATCGTCCAAGGTCTCTCTCTCTCTCTCTCTCTCTCTCTCTCTCTCTCTCTCTATATATATATATATATATATATATATACACACACACACACACACACACACACACACACACAAACAAACAAACTAACTAACTAACTAAATAACTAACTAACTATCTGTCTATCTATCTGCTACGCACTCTTCGCACTTTTCTTGTGCCTAGCTCGGCTGCGCTAATTGTAACGCGTCAGATGCATGATGTACGACGACGTGCGTGCGACACGTGAACGCGAGTACGACTAGTCGCCGCGGTTATGACTTCACATAATTGATACGATAATAACAAAATAGTGGACGAATCCATTTAACTTTATATAAAGAGCGAGACGTTGAAAAGTAGGAATGACGGTATTTTGCATTGTATGCCAGTATTATATCATACGTTTGAATGATTTTAATGCGAATAATCAATAATATGATTAATTATTGATAGTCTCGTTCGAATGTATAATATTGTGAGATTGGGAAGATACGTCATCTTGGAAAATAAATAATGAAAATAAATAATAAAGCAATAAGATGTATGCTTTCCGATAAAATTCAATAAAAAGGATAAATAATAATAGTAAGCTGCATAATGTTAAGCTCTTTATCGGTAATACGTATTTTTGATTTATATAATTTATATAATTTTTTAATTTATATAATTATTAGCCGAGTTCAATTATAAAAGCCATCATCTTTTATTTAAATCTTCATCATATAATATTTTTATTCAAATTTTTTTCTCTCTATTATATATTATATATAATAAATGTATTCATTTTTTAAATTCCTCTCGATATAACATCATAAAGTTAAGTTTTTTCCCATGATACCTGACATTAATATTCTCTGAAAAAATTTTAAATAGAATTAAATTGAAAAAAAAAAAACAAAAAATTACTCAAACAAATGATATATTCTAATGTTTTTAGAATACATTGAATCGTTTAGCGATAAATCTAATGAATTAATCAGTAACATTTATGAAAATAGTAACGCACGTATCGTTCTTCATATAAAAGCTTAATTTCAACGTAACAAGTTAATATTTTAAATAGTTCTGCACATTTGAACTAGATATTTAATGAAATATGTTACTTTGAAGAATTATAGGAAATGTACTAGTACTACCACTCGTTGTCAACGCAATTACATATACTAAAGCGAATAAGTTCTCAGAAAACATCACACATCATCTTTTAGTAATGCACGTGGCTTATTTTTTAAACAATAATATAATAATAATTCATAGTGTTGTTATTGTAAATAATAAAACTTTTTAAGAATTGAGAGATACCGAACGTACGTTCATTATTCATTTCTTATTGTAATTATAATATTTGTATAAAAGTGCATAAAACATAAGATCAGAAAGCTAATTTAAATCAATGTTTATCGCTAACAAGAGTGATAAATATGTCCTTACAATCTATTTATGTGTGAATTTATGTTTTTCAACAAACGTTAATTATATCAATTGTTCAATAAATAAAATTAGAGTTAAATCATTTAATATGAAATGATGCATTATAATAGACTACTTGATGATAGTTAGACTATAAACGTTTATTTAAACACTTTTCCGCACTTAAGCAGATACGTTTCATTCGTGTTTTTAATAAATTAATAAAGTTGTCGAATATATTTTTAAAAATTTGCAATAACATTTCCAACAACAACTACAACAACAACAACGACAACGACAACAACGATAACAACAACAACAACAACAACAACAACAACAACAACAATAAGTAATAATAAGTAATAATGACACTTAAACTTTTGTGTGCATGCACGATAAAGTTCATATTATAAAATATGCCTTCGATATACTTCAAATACAATGCGCAAAGTTGAATGAACATGCAGTCGTAAAGCTATGGATGGATAAGCGAATTGGTGTGAGTGAATGATAAAAATTCAATTGATGTTTACGGAATATAATAAATGTAAATATTAGAAGTTAAACTATTACCCATCACTGTTTAGTTACATTTGTCGCTCATATTCTATCCAAATTAATACAAGCTTTTCCATAAACACAACTAGCTTATAATTAATAAGAAAATAGCTTTCTAAATACAACTAATACAATTAATGAAGACGAATTACTTTTATTAATCAACTTGTATGGGAATGATATTTGCATTGAAATTACATTCTACGACATGACAAACATTTGTATTTTAATACGAGTATTTGCAAGACAAATATTTATGCTGTTCGGTAAGCTTTTTGCTATTTTTCCCAATATTTAGCGCGACACCATTTTCATAAAATAAGAGAGAAATTTATACCTGACGATGAATTTTATTATTTATTGGACGTGAAAAATATTCCAAAAATTATGAAAATAATTCTTAAATAAAATCTATAATTGATATCTAAATATAATAAAAACTAAAACAAAAAAGACAAACAATAAATACTTTTCTAATAAAAAAAAATTTACCTATGCTGTTAAAACGAATTTATTTATCGTAATGAGAAAATAGAGAAAGTTATTATTACAATAATAATAATAACAATAATAATAATAACAATAATAACAACAATAATAACAATAACAACAATAACAACAATAATAATAATAATAATAATAATAATAATTGGTAATAGAATCCGTATTCTTTTGATTATTCAGTTATGAGATTTATAAGATTAAATCAGCAAATCGGGTTTGTGTTATTTTCATTTCTTTCTTTTTTTTTCTTTTTTTTTTCTTTTTTTTTTTGTTTTTTTTTTTGTTTGTTTGTTCTGGTTATCTTTTAATTGCAATTATATCGAGAAATAAAGTGAATTAATTAATGTTTTCAACTATAACTCTTGTATTTACATAAAGAAGTATGGCTTTATTGCCTCTTGTTTGACATTAGACATGCGCAACATGTGTAATAAATTAAAATTGTATAACTTGTTTCGTGGTTAAAAATAAAATTCAACCCGAGAAATGATAAATAGAATTTGAAAATTACTATCGAAACTTCACTATTCTTCAAATGCAAGCTTTTTAACGCAGATTATACATTCTAAACGACCGACTGCAATTATGTCTTATAATGAATAATATTTTAACGAAGCGCTCGAGTAATTATTATTCAATGTAAATACCGCCGCCAACTCTATAAAAACACAGCTGATTTTTAATAATAAAACACGTATATTCAAGCGACGACAAAGTGCGTTATTTTTTTTTTTTTTTTTTTTTTTTTTTTTTTTTTTAATAATCCATGCACACTGAGCGTGCAATTTGAAATTTTAACGCACGAATTCGATATATAAAAAAAAAAAAAAAAAATAAAAAAAAAAAATAAAATAAAATAAAAAAACAAAAAAAAAACATCAAATGACTTCTAACTATGCCTGCGTGCATAATGCGCACACTAGCATGATCTCCATGTACCAGCATAGTTTTGCTTGACACAAGGTCGGCCTCCTCAAGTTGTAACGGCCTATTCGTTATCCACGAGGCGGCTTAGCGCGTATCTTTATATTTATAGCTAATGTCGCCGCGACATTGAACGCACTTTAGTAGTGGTGGTATTAGACGCGGGTTTTTCACTGCCGTTTTGTTTGTTTTTAGCTCGCCGCGGGCTATCAGTGCAACTTGCATCTTGGTAGTAGCGAAACTTGAGGGAAGCGAGAAAAAAGATGAAAATAATACTATGGCATTCTTATCCTCCATCTTTTTTTCTTTTTTTTTTTCTTCTTTTTTTTTCTTTTTTTTTTTTCTCTTTTTTTTTCTCTTTTTTTTTCTCTTTCTTTTCCAATCTGCGCTACTAAGAATCTATTGAGATTATACTTTGTAGGCAATTGTACTTAATGATATCGGTTAGCGTAATTGAACTCCGATAATGCTTTATCTTATAATTTGAAATACATAGGATTCGGTTAGTTCGGGATAAAAATAGTTATGTGCTGAATGCCACACCAAAGACTTTCTCAATAATGATTTTTTAAAATTGTTAACTGAAAATGCTGTCTAAATCGAACTAAATCGAATGACAAAAAATGGAAATTTTTTTTTTTTTTTTTTTTTTTTTTTTTTTTTCACGCGGTAAGCGAAACGCTTAATATTCCGATTAAGCCAATTGAAATGGTGTAGTCATAAAATTTATAATAAAGCATGATGATGTGTGGATAATACTTTCATAAAAGATTGTGAAAACAATGGTATAAATATGGAAAATTAGCGCTGCAAACGTATTAAATTTACAAATCCTCGGACAGCTAATTTTTTTAAATCTTAGCGACATTAATATAATTATTTCGATTCGTTTCTTTGTGAGTGGAATAAATCTCATTTACTAGCGGTATTAGTAATGAGGGAGATTTTCAAATCGTGATGATTTAATGCCACTTTTATAAATAACAATAGCGTATTCCATGGTTAATATCGCAACTTTAAACTATTGAATGCGCTACTTAATTTTCTGCATGTAATACGAATTTTTTTACTAGCTCAACTGAAATAACACAATGCGCTTGATGGACGAGCATTCTGCGTGTATTATTTATTAGAAGGAACTTGAAATTTATTTAAAAAGTTTCATTACGAGCTGTAAAATGATGCTAAATAGAGGTATTAATTATTTTACTTGAAAAGCGCCCTGATAAATGTCCCTCAAAATACACGCGCCGTCAATAATGTGTTTAAAAAAAATTAATAACTATTTCAAGACACAATCTGAGGATCGAATGTGAAAGAGTACGAATAAGAATAGCGATTGTAACAATAATTATAATTAACTGCCGTGACATTATATCCCGTATACTAGATCGCCGTGACAAATCTAATTTATGTATTTTATTTCAAGATAAATATTCATAATAAAATGTAAATATGACGACACTTTCAAATATTACACTACTGTGTTTCTACTTATGTGACTGATGCCGTCGCTTTGCATCATAAAATCCTCTCCACCTATCCTAGATCGAGCAAAACATTAATTCTGCCGAAATAATTATTTAATTCACGAATAGGATGTAATTTTTTGCATTATTGAACTATTTTACATTTGCATTAATAATACTGCCATGTCATTATTAAATTCATATAGATGGATAGAATAGGTAGGTAGATAGATAAATCGATAGATAATTGAACAATTCGTTTGATATACATTAGAATATAATTGATCATGCGTCTAATATGAAATTTTAATGAGCAATTTTTAATGTGCGAGATACGTTTAAAGAGCGCCTGTATCTCGCGATGCGTTAGTATCGTATTTATACTACTGATTCCATCATCATTTATGAAAATATGCCACTCTTATTATTCAATTTTGTTATAAACTTTATGTTCGATTGTTTTTATGCAATACAATTGAATTTGGCTCTCGACTTGACGTTTCAATTATAAATGTAAATAATAAAGTAACTCGGCACACTGGGAGGCAGCGTAATGGATATTTTTGCAATAGAATATGAAACATTCGATAAACGCGGCAACGATCTATCTATAAACATTCGTATTAAATAATGATGATTTACAAGCTATTATTACGGCGCGATTGACAAGATGATTCGTTAAAAATTACTCTACTCGGCGTTACCTGATAATTGCACCCCGGGCATTCGAAATTTCTAACCGGACGATATAATTAATCACATGAATCGACAAGCACTAAGCTTTAACAATGGGCGCTCCCAAGCATTATAGATGCATTATATAAGTATATTTGTATATTGTAAATTGGCACGTTTCACAGCAAAGCATCGCCGCAATAGCCCCAGTCTTTGGCAGATTATTAAGTGCATTAATGGGGCAGTGGGAGGGGTGGTGGGTGGGTGAGTGGGGGGGGGGG